AAGAAAATTAACTCTATCCCAGCCGAAACCAGGACATTGTAGAAGCACGGCTAATGTATTTTCAGCAGCAGATTGTTAAAAGAGCACTTCAGAAGTGAGATTAGGAAAATGAGCTTGAATAAAATTAGAGTAAGTGGTCGCCATTAACTCATCTCCAGAGTAAAACTGAGAAGTTGGAATCCTCCAAGTATTGGGTGGCGTGCTTTCATTGCAGGTACGAGCCCCTGATGTTGAGAAAGCCTGATCGACGGCGCAGTACTACCCAGACATGGAGTTTTCGTGATGGAAAGTTGACCTGTGGTATTCATGGACTTGTTGTCCAGGTCAGTACTGATTGTGTGTTGAACTTGTTTTGACTGTTGCTGATAGAGATGACAGAGTCATTTGGGCTTAGTATTGAGCTCAAAGCTTTGAGGCCAAAGTTCAGAATACAGAAGAAACCAGACTTGCGCAAACAGCTCGTGTGGTTTAAATTCATGTTTGAATGTTCTTAATCAATTTCAATTTCAAATAATTAAGCTATTAATTTGAAAGTAAATAATTAGAAAACTAACGGTACATCATTGTTGAAAATGAACAGTATAGTGATAAATAGGGCCTTGGTATTCTCACACATACCGAATGTGAGAATGCCTTAGATTGTGTCAGTTAGTATCACTGATGAAAGTCAAGATTTGTGTATAACCAGCACTTCTCAGAATTATGGATCTAACATTTTAGTAATAAGAATTTTAAAAGCAGTTTGAACTGTTTGCCCTTTCTTTGTGTTCCAGGAAACTCTGACTTGCAGACAGCTAACACTTGCAGATTATTTGATAATTCTGCCTGCTGATGTTAGAATTTGTAGGCACAGAAACCTGGATTGCTTTTGCAAATTCTAGAACTAAATGTCAAAAGAATTTTGATGCTTTTTTTTTTTTCTTTTTTTAAGTGTTTCAACCATATTTGTCCATTGCTTACAAACAAATTTGAATAAGTTATCCTGCATATTGTGAAATAGCAAAGTATGTTTGTAATAAGTAATGACATCATTTCCAACGTTTTATTTTGAAAAATAAATTGTGCCGGCTATGTCAATGGAAATAGTGAACACGTTAGCTCTGTGATGAAAGTGAGTCTTTTTTGTGCGCAGTGAATGTGGAATGAGTCTGTAAGGTACAGAATGATAATATCACTTTTAAAATCCTGCAAATAGGACACCATCATGTTCTACTGGAGATGTCTTCCCCCTCCCCCCCTTCCTTTTCTTGTTTCTAAATTCCACATAATTTGTTGGGTTTTTTTCCCAAAATATGTGCTTCAGGTATTTTTTCATTTTAAAACAGAACAGCAATGACAGAAAACCAGCGTCTTGGTCATTTTGCTCAATGTACGTGTCCTAGAAACTAGAAAGATCCTGCAGAAACCAATTTTGAAATTTCAGATGCTTGTTCTGATGTAAGCAAAAAGAAAAAGTATGGAAAATACTCCTGAGGCTTCACAATAACCTTTTAAGACTGTATTTGTAGTTCTGTTCTGATTAATTTTAAAGGCATATAGTAGCCATAAAAGAAACCTCCAGAACAGGTACAGTAAGGATAGCAGCAATGTAGTGTTCCTTTGCCACCTTTAATACCATGTTTCAATTCTAATACCAAAAAACTGATCTAGAGAAAAATATTTTACTTAGTCCCATGATGTTGCATTGATCATTTTGTGATCAAATTACTGTAGCTTAGTAAGTTACTATTTGTCAGGTTGAAGCAACCCAAAAGCCCTGCGTTGCTCTTTTAAGATGTTGACTCAGTAAGGATTTGCGTTTTCATCTGCAGATCCCGAGTTCTTCTTTTAAAGAGCTTTCTGTCATTTTGAAAGTATTTTCAGGAAGCACTTCCCACGTCCGATCATGGTATGATAGCTTCAGTTTCTGAACATGCAGTGGGAATAGTTAATTATTGATCTGGGCTGCTTCTTCTAGCTGCCAAGCTGATTAAACATGAGTTACCAGAAGTTTTAGTAATATCAAGGAAAATGCTGCTGGACTGCTTTTCTTTCAGTTCTGAAGAGTAAGTAGTATGTTAATTCCCCTCACACCCAGACTACTCAGTCTGGGGTGGAGTATCGGACAAATTTCTTCTTCAGCCTTTTAAGGAGAGGAAAGTAGAGTGCACTTTTAAATTAATGTATGTAAATAGTTACCTGAAGCCTTTACCTGTCACTTAATTTTTTTTTTTCCCTTACTCTTATTTCTTTCTCCAGGCAAAGGGAGGAATACGAGGTCTTCATGATGGAGCAGAAGTTGTTCTTGGTCCTGATACTTCGCTTGAACTTTTGGGGCCAGTTCCACCTGAACAGCAGTTCATAAACCAGAAGATGAGGCCCGGCTCAGGAGTACTAGTTGTTAGAGTCATCCCGGATGGGCCCACGAGAGTTCTACAGGTGAAGGTCCTTCATTAACTAGAATCTACTTTCATTATTTGCTTGTACTTGAAAGACCTTTTCCTGTATTGCATCTCTAAATTCTTACAGAAAGTTAACTTTATAATGATATGAAGGGGGAGGGGAATATCGTAAAACAAATAATTACAACAACATTTATTTTGTTTATTTTTAAAAAAAGAATAATTTTATAAGGTAGGACAATATAGCTGTAATTTATAAACAGGAAAGTGATCACTAGTAATTTATTTGTTTATCAGATAACGGATTTTAACCAACGTAGAAATGATCGTTTATCCAGTGAAGTAGATGAACTTCCAGTTACGGAACAAGATCTACGCAAGTTAAAAAATCCAGATACAGAGCAGGAATTAGAAGTAAGATACTACAACTAGCATCTGTCTCTTTTATTTATCATTTTTCTTTCTAGATTTTAGAGGGGGGTCGGAGGGGTTGTTCGTTAGCTTTTCCCCATGACGACCTCTTGTTATGAACTTGTAGATTTTCCTGCTAAAACTCCTCGTTCTTAGAAGTTGGGTTTGTATGTCTTAGCCCCTCTTTATTCGAAGACTAACTGTCAATGAGCTGTTCAGCCTCTCTGGAGATGAGTCTAAAAAAAATACCTTCTTTGCAGAAGTATGTATTCAGTATCACAGGTTTTTTCAGTGTTGGTTAGTTAGTGTGGTTTTTTTTTTTTCTCTCTCTCTCTTCAAATACTGTTTTCTCAGGTGCTTGTGAAACTAGACGGTGGAATAGGATTGTCTTTGGTCAACAAAGTTCCTGAAGAGCTAGTATTCGCAAGCCTCACAAGAATTAGTGTCCACTACACACAACTGTCAACAAGTCAGGTGTTAGAGCTCAGTGTGCAAGACATACAGGTATTTGCCATTTTGAAACAAATCTATTTGTTCATGGGTCTTCTGCGGTTTTTGTTGTCATAACAGGTTTGAAAAACGTTTACAGCTGTTACTGGCATTTCAGTTCCTAAATATCATAGAAGTTTCAGTTAGCATCAGTGTTTCCTTTTTTCATTGTTCTCTACTTACTAATAGTTGAGACAATGATGCATTGTATTTCATGCGGTTGATTTCTATCAGCAAGTTAGGATCTTTTTTTATTTTGTTTCTCCCTTCCCAGTTTTTGGTTCTTTGTCATTACATAACTAAAATGCAGCCATTGAAAGCAGGAGTCCTAATGCTGGTAGTACTGCAGTATAAATCATAGAATCATAGACAAATCAGGCAAATATAAACCTCTTGTATTTTTTTAACTAGATTTTGTTTCTGACTTTGCAGATTTTTGCTTTTACCTTTGTTTTTAGTTCAGTCACTGAAATTCAGAATTCACAAGTTAAAATGAAGACTGTAAAGACTGGTTTTATTCTACTAAAAACTCCCCTCAATTATTGGAATTCTGTTCCCAAATATGTAAGATTTCCTTGGAAGGGGAATTGTGGGTACTGATGTAGGCTACAGGAGATAAATGCATACTTACACGGATCAGTCAAACTTAAATGCAGGAGTAGTTTAACTCTGCTGTTGTTTAATATTTTTGGCTGTGTTTTTTGAAAAAGGAAAGAAAAATCACAGATAACACAGTGATTTTGTTGTAGGTTTCATTTGTTGGTGGCTATAACCACTTTTTTTAATGGAGGACATTTCTGAATATTTTTTTGGTATGGTCTCAGTGGTGGTCAGTAACCAGATATATTCAGTATCTCCCTGGATCAGGGACGATGTATTTCTTGAAAGCTTTTAAGTCCTCAGTTAAAGAGGATCAATTTTGCTGTATATTGTCACCCATTCAGATTTTGTTGTCTGTCTTGTCCACTCTGTAGGTGGACAACCAGCTTATTGGCACCACACAGCCTTTTATACTCTTCCTGACACCCAAGATGAGTGAAAATGAACCTGTGGAGACTGGTCCTGCAGTGCAAGTAAATGCAATGAAATTTCCCAGTAAAAATGCACTGACTGATATATACAAGGTAAACTACAGTCTTTTGATTGTGCCATGCAGGAATTACTCTGTTTAAATGACCTTTCCTGTTCCTAATTTTTACTAGTAATCTGAATTAAATAATCTGTGAAATACTTTGTTGAATTAATACTGAGGCTTAAAGGATACTGTATCCACCTTCTCATGTTCATAGTGTTTACAGCTATAGTACAGTGATGAACAGGATAATATGTTCAAAAATACAACAAATTAGGCCAGACCCCTGTTTGTTCATGTCTGTGACCTTGCTTTTCAAGCCAATTATTCTCACCTCAGAATTGACAGGTACCGTTGTAGCACAGTGAACCAGAATATCTGTGTGATGCTTTTCATGAGTTGTGTACAAGGTTATTACTTCTTTCTGATAAGCTGTTATCTTGCAGCATAAACCCTGCTCTGTGTACTGCAGCTATTGACGTTGTTTGGAAATTTATCCACCAACTGTGGTATGCATTGTGAGGGCCAAACTGAGTCGGTTATCAAGACCTATTTTCTCACTTGGAATCTTCACCAATGTATTTTGATGCTATTTTGAAAACCGGCTGATTTCGGTGTTGGAAAACAGCTAAGCATCAGGTTCTGAAGTGTTGGTATTAGGTAATGAAGCACAATAGCTTCCAAAAAATTGAAACAATTGTCACTAGTTGTAGGTAACTTTAAGTGAAGACAACTACCAAAGACATTTTGAAGGTGGGACTCTTACTATGAATCTGTTCCAGTGAAAATATTCCGTTGAAGTAGAACACATTGTCCTATTTAATGGCTTACATGGATGGTATTCCTTGCGTTAATACTGTAAACTGAGACTTGTTTATCTTTGTAGCATCTGATGATCACTGCTCGAAAGTTCACAGTTCAGATTGAGGAGAAACTACTTCTGAAGCTGTTGAGTTTCTTTGGCTATGATCAGTCTGAATCAGGTACAGTATAAAATTACAAAGACCAGTTTTACAGTATAGAGAAGTATTATGATCTTTGCATATAAAAAGTTCCAAACCCCTAGCAAACACTTAGCTGCTTGGAAACTTCCACTGTTGAACAGAAAGCTGGAAAGCGTGTGTCTCAGTGGCCCCCATGAAGCTGTTCATGTATATTGTTCTTGTTATAGTATTCAGGTAATGACCCATGCAACACGCTGCTGTCCAGTACACGGTTGCTGAGCTGAGCCTCTGGGGGAACGAGTTTAGTATTCATCTTAAGTTCCTGTATCTGGATTCATCTAAATTAGGATAAAAGAAATTGTGTTATTAATTTAGCAAACCACTTTGTTTAGCAATGTTTATTTATTTAAACCCAAGGCTAGAAATGGGATCTCTGTTCATTTCATAGAATCATAGAATCATAGAATCATTTGTTCCTTGGGCAGTTCCTCTTGCTTAACTGAAGGAAAATTTTGGCTGTCTGACCTTTTAGTTGTGGCATCCATACCCATGGCTTTAATTGTAATATAAGTTTTCTTCATTCAGTGGGGCAAGACAGAGCTCCTGAATCTTCTAATCTTGTAGGTGGTGTTCTAATCCTTCTGTTGTAGGGTTTATCTGTACTTTGGAAACTTTCTGAAATGTCTGTTTTGGAGCAGCAACCGAAACAGTCACTTTTATTATGCAGTAGGGTGTGTGGGGTTATATAGTAAAATAACTGTTTCAGGAAAAAAATACTTCTGGCATGATTCCAAATGTGGGCAAGCCTACAGATGGTGCTCAAGAGTGCTGTGTCTTCCTAATCCACAGTATCTTCTGAATTGTCTCTGAAAACATACAAGTATTAAGTTTCCCAGTTTTACAGAGGACTTCAAGACTTAGATTTGTGGTGATGAAGAAGAAATAAAGATTTTGAGTTTCGCTCTTAACGCTGTTTACTAATCTGTCCTTTGCTGTGGTTTGCCCTGATTCTTCTTCTGTTTTTTGCTTTCCTTACTCACTGTATGCTCTTTGTAGTTTAACCACTGATGCTGATGATGTCATCCAAGATTCAGACAAAAATAATTTTGTCATTTACATTCAACATGTTTAATTGTTCAATATGAGTTCATAAGACTTTGTCATCTTTCGTCTTTCCCCCCGCCTTCTCATGCCAGCAAGATCCTCTTAGAAATAACATATGAATCTGTTAGTGCCAGCCAAATTTGGCTCACTCTATACATAAATTGATTTATTGAATGTCTTCCAGGTAGGCATTTTGTCCATACAGATTGTCAGCTTTGCTTGCTTTGTACATTATATTGATAGTTGAGTGTGTAAGGAAGTATAGAGAAAGTAGAGAGGAAAACACACTGTAAGACCATGACTGCACAGTAGGAAGCATTGCATAGTTACATTTGTATCACCTTGCTTCTGTATGCTGTCAAAGATAAATTAGAAGGGAGATTAAAAGCTCGAATAACTTAAACTGTGCACTTGGATGACTTTTTTTTTATCTAGCTACAAATACATTAAGGTTTTAGAGATGCAGGCAGATCTGAAAAAAAGTTCTTGAGCCTCAAAGGTCAACTTCATGTCACAAGGCATGAGTAATTTTGCTCACCACACTATCAGTTGCACATACTTCTTATTTGTACAGAGAAATTGTTAACTCTTTACAGACTATGCATTCGTAACCCCATATTTACTTACATATAATCTGTTCTGATTCCTGTATTCTGTCTGGATGCAGAGGTTGAAAAGTATGATGAAAACCTCCATGAAAAGGTTGTTGAACAAGGTGGAGGACAAAAGCGATACTACTTTGAAAATCTGAAAATTAGTGTGCCTCAAATCAAGTTGAGTGTCTTCACTTCCAACAAGCTACCTTTGGATCTCAAGGTACGCCAATGTATTCACAGGGTGCGCTTCCAAGTAAAGAGATTCTATTGTACGAAAAAGGGAGCAGAAGTTTTAACTTACTACTATTAATTTCCATTTACTCTTCTATTTAAGTTACAAATAATAGACGTTCCAATAACTTGTTATTTAATTTGCATAATTTTCAGTCTCTTCTGTAACATTCTTTCATTTTTGTAATTTCAGTTGAAGCACAGCCAACTTCACCTACTAACTCACTACTTTACGAAGGGTCTTAGTTACATTAATGGTAGTGTAAAGGGGCTTAAAGGGAATGACTACCATATGGGAGGGTGAAGAAAAACAAGAAGTTACTCAACTTAGGGAGCAGAAATACAGGACAGCTCTGAGTGCTTTCATCCAAAAAATGTTGTCTCATTGGAACTGGAGGGTTTGCATGAGCACTGCGCAGTTTGGTTCAATGTTAAAGTGAATTCAGATTGAGTATGGACTTAGGTAGAAAATCTGGTCCTTTTCGTGTGGTAATAAATGTTCTGGCATAGTCACTCAAGTGAACCAGGGATTCCAAATTATAGCAAGAAGATAATCTCGGCCAGTGTTCCCATCTTGTGTATTGGGACCTTCCTGGACATAATAAGGTGACAACAGTCAGTAATATTTCAGTTCCCTCTGAGCTAATTCAACTAATTTCCTCCAAGGTGGGGGAGTTGAAACAAAACCAGCGAACCAAACCGTAAAAAACTCTCCCCACTGTGGAGGAACTGAACGGCTGTCTGTTCAACTTGTGTGTTCAAAAACCAAAATTGAGACACTGACCAGACTTTTTTGTACCCTTGATATTATGGACATTAAGATCTGCAAGCTTTTAAAGAAGTTCAGTTTTGTGGAACGAGTGTGCATCATGGAGTCCTACCAAGATGACCCAGCATATCATCAGTCCTGCATTCGTGTATTGCTTTTACCAAACCCTTGTGCAAAGGAGGACAATTCGATAGCTAGCTGTAATATTCCTTACCATTCAATGACATCAGCAATGTCTTGAATGTGTTTGCACTTTAGCTTCAACACAAAAATGCTTATCATCAATTACCTCAAATTTAGAGAGAGAAAGCAGTGGTGAGTGCCTTTAAGAAACTAGTAATGTGCACTGTTCTGTTTGGACTTCCTACCACCTTTGGTATATGATTGCATATGGATATGTCTTGGCAGCTGCCAGCATTGTTCCCAAGAGAAAACTTGGCATATACCTTTTTTTTCCCCCCTAATGATAACAGTCACTGCCTGTATTCTGTATATTAACTTTCACAGAATGAGTTCCATTCAGTTTTGTAGCACAGGAAAGTTCAGGGTAGGAGGGAGAGAACAATCACAGTAGAGCCTTTGTAGAGGTTTTTCTAACTACCTCTAATGTTTCTGGCTTGGACATTGCTGTCTGGTAATTTGGTGTAGACAGATTATTTTTTTTATCAGGTACCAGTATTAACAAAGTTGCCTTATATAATATCTGATAGTTAAACAGGAAATTACTTCCTACCCAAGTGAATAATGAGGACTACTCTAGTTAGTCATCCATTTACTGAAAAAATAAATAGGTCCTTTCTTACTTGCAAACTTAAATCAGACCTGTAATTTACCATAATTGCCTGCAGATGGCAGAAAAACGCATATTACTTACTACCAAGCATGCTTTAGTGATTAATGTAGAAAGACAGAACACGAGTGTCAGGCTTCTTGCCTTCTTCAGATTTTTTGATGTTGGTGACTGTGCAGATGTCCTTATCAAGACCTGAAATAGGAGCAGTCTCTCTCTTAAAAAATTACTTTTCTGATTAATTTTTTCCAAAATTATTTTATTTATGTGTGTGTATATATAGATGTATAGCTTGTCTACCTTAAATATGGGGTTTATGTGTAGATTGTACAGGTTACAGACAGCCCATGGGCTAATTACTGTCTTAGTTTTCTTCCTTGCAAATAATTGAAAAAGCTGGTTTAAAGCATTTCAGTACACCACATAATGTTAAGAAACGAGCCTCAGGCTTGCAGGAAATTATGTATGTTATTCCAGCTCATCCTGACACTTAATCCATTCATAGAACTTCAGCAGGGTGGAAAATACCCAGTTTTGTCTTCACTATGTAACAACAAAATTGATTCAGGGTTTGATTTAATTGAACATTACAGCAGTTATAGCAAAGTGCTAAGCAGGGAATCTTAAATACATTTTGTTTTGAAATATTCCTGTCAAGTGTAGGAAACATTGCATCAGGAAGAGTGTTTAATGGCTGTCTGGTTACTGAAGAAATGCAGTTCTAATAATTGATCATTGCGTACCAGTAAAAGGTTTGTGGAGCGATTGGCCTCTATATGAAAGCACCTACATGGCAGTGGCAAAGTACTCTAGCAGCTTCAGATAATTTTGGTTTGTTACCCATTTAAAGGTTCATTCATTTGGGTGCTGTGAATGAGAAGTAGAGAGAAAAATTAAAGTAGCAATATCTTTTCTTTAATTAGGCATTGAAAAGCACGCTGGGATTCCCTCTAATCCGATTTGAAGATGCTGTGATTAATCTGGATCCTTTCACTAGGGTCCATCCATATGAAACTCGGGAGTTTATCATTAATGACATTCTGAAACACTTTCAAGAGGCAAGTGTCATACAGATTTTATTGTGGCAAAGGCTGAACGTCTCCCAATTGAGGAGTTCTCTGCTGGGGGGGCGGGGGGGGGAGGGGGCTACACGACTCTTTCTTGACTGTTAAGTGTTAGTGCTGTATTGCTTCTTTGGTATACTGAGAAATAGCATCACATGCTTCTACAACTACACTGCATTTTAAGATGAAGCTGTTGTTGATCTTGCTGGTACTTGTGTGTTCATTTCTTCAGGAAAACTATCTGGTTTTGTATGTGCTTTTGTTGTGGACGGGACTTGTTCCTTCTAATCAACCTTGCTGGTGTTAACGTGGTCCATAAGTGATATTTCGTTCTTCCTGTTGATTTTACAGGAGCTGCTCAGTCAGGCAGCAAGGATTCTAGGTTCTGTGGATTTCCTTGGCAACCCTATGGGTCTACTGAATGATGTTTCAGAAGGCGTTACTGGACTTATAAAATACGGCAATGTTGGTGGTCTCATAAGAAATGTCACACATGGAGTGTCAAACTCTGCTGCGAAGGTAATAATTATGATATTAAAGTTTGCTAAAACAATAAGCAAAAAGTAGTCAGGAAACAAGTAAAATAGAATTATTTGCCATCTTTTAAACTGCTTCATGTCCTGTTTGTTTTATACGAATTATGTTTGAAGTGTAGATTTTTTTTTTTTTTTTTTTTTAAGATGCTTCATATATACACTTCAGGGATGCCAGAAATCCTGCAGGAGCCAATGAAACCACTCAGGGCCCTATTGTTGATATACGTGTATTTTGTAGATTGAGCGTGGTAGTTAGCTGGAGTGAGAACTGAAATGTTGCTCAAGTGTAGTATAATCTCCTGTGTGCAAATGAACAAAGTTATATTATATACAATATATAGAGAGAGCTTTATAGAAATTTGGAGTAGGGGTTATTTAGTATAACAGGAGTTGTTAATTTTTATATCTGGAAAGTGATTAAGCTGATGTGAATATCAACTGTTAGGCTAACGCTAGAGGTTTTTTTTCTATGCCACATAGCAACAAACTACAGAATTCCTAGATTGCTACTCATTTATCTGTAGTTTAATTCCAAAGTCTCTGCATGGTGAATGTTCTTTTGTCCTTCCTGATAACAACTGAGAGAATTCAATTATATCAGTGTTATCAGTGAAAATAACTATCTTTAGTGCCTGGGAGAGGTATGATCTGAGACAGCAGCTGAAAATAGGAAGTGGTTTTGATCATGGGTGATACTGTACTTGATAGTGAACAAGCATATGTTCTTGAAATATTTTTCATTACATACATGGTGTGTCAACATGTACTGTAAATTAACTTTGTGTCTGTAAATTAACTTTGTGGGTAGAACTGGAATAATGCTTTCTTCACATAAGGACATGTTAAAATATGTTTTTGTGAAAATTCTTTACCTCCTATTCTTTTCATTTTCCAAACTGGTAAGTTTGTACATGTATATTATCATGGTTCACCGTTTCATAACCTATTCCACTTATTTGCATACAAAGAAATCTACTTTTTTTCCCACGTTCATGGGAAAAGGTAATTCAGAATATGAGAAAGGTGAAATGTAGAGTTTGTGTAACTACAGATGGCTCAAGTCTAATGGTATCAAACCCAGTTAAACTGCCATAGAGTTCCCCAGTCCATCACCAAGTGCATAGCTGTGAGCGTATCTAACCCAGGTAGTTGAACCATAAGGAAAGATGAAATACATCTACTCTATCATAATTATCTTGTTGCCAGCATTAGCCCGTTTTGGACAACTTCAAGAAGTTCCAACAAAATACCATGTTCTTGATATTCCTGTCTTAATCCCATAGTAGGTGGTTCTGTGATTATCAGCACTGCAAATACAAGCTTATCCAAGCAATCTGGTGGAAGACTTACTGAGCGTCTGTAAGGCGGCATCCATCTGTGCAAATGAGTATTTTTGTCCATACTTTCTGCTCGTGGTTCTAGTCTCTGGTGACCCATCCACTCCACCCAATAGAGTATGTTTCTTTAGAGTTTCCTTTCTATAAAGTGTTGTTTCCTCATTGCAGTCACATCTGCAGCAACAGTCTCATAAATCTTTCTTTAAAAGGCACGAGCCTTCCTACGTTTCCCACAAGGGCAAGGTCATTCTTTGAACTTTGGAGTCATTTGTAACCAAGGGTTTTGTGAAGGAAGATTTTCAAAGGCAGAAGGGCAGTTGGATGCTGAACTCCTTTCAAAATTCAACAGGAGCCGAGTGCCTGCTTCCCATTTATACCTTTGAAAATCACCCCATGTACTATTTATCTGTCTTCCCAGGTATTTTTTTCTTTCTCCTTTATATATCCAAAATGCCTGTGATGCAAGTCTCACACAGTTCCCTTTTAAAAACTTTTTATGTGGATTATGTATTTGTCCTTTCAGAACAAGGAGAGAATTATGTCCTTTAGAAAGGCTTAATAGTACATTATGCAACTCCTTGGTTAATCCCCCTTCCAAAGAATGGATCTTAATTGTTCTACATAGAAGATAGCAGTAAAAAAGGCTCAAATAATCAGGGTGAATTATTCCCTATATGTTGCACAGCTTTTAGGCATCTAAATCTGCTAGAAAACTAAGGCAGGAATGTCCATATGATAAAAAATTGACATTTCAAGTACAATTTGTGATGTGTTATGTATATGGTACAGTGTAAAACTTTGTCTTTTACTCCCTTCTTCTCTACAATGTATACGCCTTATGATCTTGTCTAGGATTTGTGAAGTTTTGGTAAAGAAAAAAATGTAGGGGGGGAAAAATAATTCCAATTACTCGAGAAAAACATGACTGAAACAATAGATCATTTTCATCTTGCTGTTCGTGCTCTCTG